CCGTGACTGAATGAACCTCTGGATAACCTTGGCCTGGTTTGCGGCATTTCCACACTTACTAGCAAAATGCCCATTTTCTCCGCAGCGATAACAAAAGTTGCTTTCTTTATCACTGGTGTTACCTGTCCGTGCAGAGTTCAGATCAGCCCTGGACGGCTCCACTCTCAAAACTGGAGAGGACACAACAGACCTTTGCTCTCTGGCGTCCAGCTTCTGCTGCAACCTTTTAACCCGTTTTCTCAGCGCAACCACTTCGCCATCTGCTGAACTCTCTACACCGTCAGTCTTGCTTGTTGGAACAGGCTCTGCAACTTCTCTTGGTGTGGGGCATGACTGGTATACCACGGATGAAACCATAGACTTCAGTTCTCGAATCTCAGTTTTCAGATTCTGAATTTCAATCTGTCTGTTATCCTGTTCTGATTGTGCTTGGACTTTGTGTGCTACCAGATGCAATTTAGCCCGGGAGGCTTCATACTCCTCCTCACTTCTGATCTCACTTAAGAGCTCTACAAAACTGGGTGGGGTTTCTTTCCTGTCTCTCAGCTTGAGTTGCACTAACATCATGTCGGAGTGCACGGCACCCCTAAGGAGCTGTTCTACTCTGGTCCTATCAACACGGTGGGCTTCAATTCCACCACAACTCACTACCCTGCTCAGCGACTGCTCTAATCGCCTCAGAAAGTCGGATAGTTTTTCCTGCGGTTGCTGTTGTAGTAACCGAGAAGCAAAGTACAAATCCTCACCCGTCTCAGCACTGCCAAAAGCTTTTGTAACAGCTTCTAGACATTGTTCTGGGCTAATATCAGGATCAGCTGTCCTCACAGTTTTCACCACCGCTAGTGCTGGACCTTTAAGACTCTCAATGATTCTGCGCCTCTTTTCTTTAGCAGAACTGTCACTCTCCTCCACCATTAGGTGTGCTTGTTCAACCCACTGTTCGAATGTCTCTTCTCCAACCGGTGTTGGTACTGTGCCTGAGAACATTCTGAGTCTACGATAACTACTGCCTTCACTGGAGGGTCTCTCCATCTTTGCCAACAAATCGCCCACAGCACGGATTATCGACTCTGCAGAGTTACCATTCTCCTGTGCTTCTGCCCCGCGTTTCGATTTACTCTGGGAAAAATCCTCACGAGGCGAAGCTTCAGCTGTCACTATGATGGACCACGGCTCACCAGCCCCCGTAGGATACACTTCAGGTGGGATTCTTGTGGCATCTACTTTCTCTTTGGTTTCACACAGGACAGTTAGCCTATCAAGCGCTTTGTTGTATCTTCGGCCTCTCACCCGCACTCGACCCAAAGCTTTAACACTCTCCAGAGTGTGCTCTATTTGGTCTATCTCCACTCCTTCGGGAGTAAGCACCATCAGGGTGTGAGCCTCATCTAAGGTCTCTCCACGACTCCATTCCTGAAGCTCCTCGAACAACTCAGAGTGCATAGCTTGAACATCCATGACCAAACAATATCAAAGTTACTGCTTTTATCTCAAAATACACGTGCTTGGGAACTTCAGACTGAAACAACAAAATATCCCAGCGGTGCCTCCATTTTATGTAGCGCCCCTGACTGTGTACTCCACTATAGCCGGGTACGCCCTGAGTTCTAGTTATCTTAAACTTACTTAGTTGCCCTCAGTGAAAGTTCCCCTGATTTACACACGTATAAAACACAGATACACTTTTACCTTACTTTGAACTATAGATAATAAACAGTACTAGACACAAAATCTTATGTTTAAACCAAGCAGGTTTACTGAATGAACTGGTAAACACCCAATAAATCAATAAAATAAAAAGTCTCTTGCAATGACAAAATATAACAATAATAACAGTTACACCGTTCTTTACTGTAATGGGCCCCACACACACACACACTCTCACACCACCCAGTTTCCCAAGTCCCCTCGGTGCAGGCCTGGATCGATGCTAGGGTGCGTAGGAACCAACGGTCCTAAAAGAAAACAAAATGGTGCTCCTACCTGGAAACCTTAGTCTTTTGTCCACAATACACTCACGGTACGCCGAGAGGTCCGTCCCTTAGGTCGCCGAGCTGCACGCTTACTCCTTTTTATCAGCAAACCTGATCGGCCGCCTTGGCAGTCAGTAGCCTCCCACTCTGTGCAGGTCAGGCGACATCCAGCGAAGTCCGCCTTTATGGCTAACTCCGATTAGCCAAGTTAGCACGCCGCTAACTGGGGATCTTTCGAGGCAACAGTGCAAACCAGTCCGGGCTGCACCACCTCACAGTCACGCTCTGTTACTCAGCCGTGGGCGTGGGATGATTTATCCTCACTGTCCATTGGAAAAAAGTCTCTGTAGACACTAGCCGCATCTCGCGCACGCTTTTTCTCTCTCCTCTCCTCTCTCGTGGCTGCCTCCTTTTTTTTTTCCGTCTCTCCTCCCGCCCGCTCCCTTTCAAAATAAAAGCACCTAAACACACTTCCTTATTACTACTACAACACAGTAGAACGAACAACAGAACTATTCAGATATATCTAACTGGAAATAAAACTTAGCCCCATAAAATATACCCGGGCTACATTTACTTTAAACTTTTTGACTGATGCAATTGTAGTACTCATAGGGGCAGTTGTTGATTTGCCAGATGTGGTGGAAAGTGGGACAGAGGTTTCAGGGGAAGAGAAATATGTACTTTGTACAGATTTACTTGACATTTTTGATGGGCAGGAGCAGTTAGAGGGAAGGTGTGAATACAGATGAGTAACTGTTGTATTTTTAGGACATTGTGTTTCAGGAAATACTTCAATTCCCAGTTCTGTGTAGAGTTCTCCCAAGGTCTTTGTATCCAGATGTTCAGGGCCATGATTTCTGTTGTTGCCCCAGTGTGCACTTGCCAGCCAGCTGTTCTGAATCTGACTGTAGCAGCAGAAGGTCGACCAGAGCACTGAAGGAATACTGATTATTTGGTTGAGACGGTTGTTGCTGGGCTGTGCTCCGATAACTACAAAGCCTTCTATATTGCTATTGTTTTTGCAATATTCATTCAAAACACATTTGATGCAATTCTCCATTTTATTCCAGCTTCCGCTGTTGAAGTCTTTATTTTGTGGAACAATGTTAGTCAAAGTAAAAGTAGAATTTCTTTTTAAAACAGTAGATCCATAAGAGCTTGGAAACAAGTGTCCTCTGCTAAAACCTGTGTTTTTGTAGTCTTTGTCCCCAGCCTGGTGCTTGTAATTGGTACTGTTGTTTGATGGTCTCATATTGGGATTGTCACTTGGATTTTCAAGCTGTCAAAATCAAAAGGGTAGGTCAGTAAGTCATGCATGGTTGTTGCTAAATAGATTAACAGATTAAAAGAGTTTAGTTATCACCTCAGGATCATTTATTTCAGCTGATATTGCTTTTTTTTCATCTATAGAGCAAACTTAAACTGACATAATTTAAATTAATTTTAGCCAAACTCAGTGAAGCTGAACTCAGTGATGTCTTTAGGAACATATACCGAACAATGCTGATTATCATTTTGTAATGTAATGGAAATAATCTGTAGAGTTACTCATAAGCAGAGTTACTGAATTAGTAGAAATAGTATCAGCAACACTAGAGTGTTGGAGTCAGCCTGTACAGTCATTAGTTTATCATGTACGTAGGCCTGCAGTGTCATAATATTTATTTCAGTTTGAAAGCTGCATCACAGCAGTTATTATGAAGTAACACATAACAGTTGTAACACATAACTAATAAATATTGCAAATATTTAATATATACCTGTGGTTCAATCATCCATGGGACCTGGGGTCTTCCAGATGTGCTCCCATTGAACTTTGCAGCAGAAAAAACTGGAATCTTGTTCTGGGTGTCGTAGAGTGTCACAAATGTTGTGGTGTTATTCAAAGTCTGGCAAATCAGCTTGTATCTGCTTTGGTTCAAGATCTTCCCTCCCCCCAAAATTCTTGTGATGTTTGGTGGAGTTTTCTTCAGAAAAAACTCATTACAGTCTTCCACTGATGTCACCACTTCAGTTTCAGTGGGAACAATGGACAGAAGGAGGAGAGCAGCAAGGGGCAGGAGCTGCTTCAGTAATGTCATCACCGCGCCCTGATTCATCTGGTCAGAGGAGAAACCAAAACCTTTACACATCATGACATTTAAAGAGGCACAGTTAAAATTTACCGTATTTTCTGTCTCAGATAAAGTTTCAAATCATGAGGTAAATATATGCACAAATAATCACTGTGAGCCCAAAACTAAGGATAAGGATTACCATAAATGCTGACTTTACCCAATTTGTTTCTACTCTTGAACCTGTGTAATGTCAAAAAGGCGTAACACAAGAAATAGTGGCTCAGTGGAAACTATGCAAATACAGTAAACCAAGCAGCAATCACTTTATAAATAAAGGGATTTTGTGCGGTTCAAACCTTCTGTTTGCAAAGGACGTGTAGTGAGAATTTGATTGGATTAACGGGAATGGAAATAAAGCAGTTTATTTCAGATGAACAAAGGCCCAGCATAAGATAAGGATTAGCTTGAACTGTGAATCATAAAAAGGTGTCTAACCATAGAAAATCTGGCGGACGAAACCTGCATATGAAACTGCATTCTTACAAATTTTAAAACCAATTCAAGCCTGTTAAGTGTCTTTCTTCATCTATCTAAAGGTAAACACAAAGTCAGCTCAACAATAATTAGGACTTTATATACTGAGGCTTTCAGACTCTCAGGTTAAAGCTCAGAAAACTATTTCAAAAATCGCCGAACAGCTAAAACAGCAAATGAGAGGTAAACAGATTCTGCACAAAGAAAACAAAAAGCGTGGATCGTTCACCCCACGGCACATACACGAACATGCCATCAGTGCTGAATACTGACATATGAAGGTTTCATCACTCTGACCAAAATTCACTGAACCAACAGCAAAAGAAGATCAAAACTTCACGTTTGATAACCGTCATCATGAATTATTTTAATCGTGTAGAGTGTCAGTTATGTAACAGCCACACAAGTTCAGCCCAAGTGGCCTGAGATGGAGTGAATTTCAGACTGAAGTCTGCCCCAAACAACTCAATAAATCTTTAGAAAATGTGATTCTACTAAACTTTTATTCTTCATGTTTAATCCTTTTTGGAATGAGGTAAACATCTAACTGGTGTGGCATCTTTTACGACTTTAGTTAAGATTAAGAGAAAGTTAAGAAAAAGGGTTACACTAATGGAGTTCAGAATAAATTTTTTCTTTTTTTAAACTTTGTGCTGCTTTAATTCAATTAATGTTGCTTCATATTAGTTTGTACAGCTTGTTGTGACTGCTATGCTAACTAATGGAATTTGGCTTTACTTTGTTGACTCCAATTGTGTGCTTGTGTGTGTGCACATCTACTAAGATGACCAGTATGGTGATGAATAAAATAAAGAAAACAGTTCTTACCACTTCAGGTTTCCTTTATGGGTTAACAGAGCAGTGGAAATGAGATGCATGGTGCGGTGCAGAGTCACCCTCCTTAAATATAAGTTAGGCTCAAAGAGGAAGTCGGTGCCTACTCAGAATTTTGTTAAAGTGTGTATGTTATGATTATTGTCAGTTTTACACAGCGTATAGTCTCGCACCTCAACTTCCTCTTTTCTCCTTTCGTCTCTCATTCTCTATCTATCTATGTATGCATACAAACACACACATCAACATCTGTGTATGTTTCTGAGAGTCAGCGGCCTGTGTGATGGGCAGACCACAACTTTAAACACAGTTTAAAAGTGTTTGTAGTCAGCAGGTCTGTTTCCAATGTGAAGGGAAGACTTGGAGTTGCAGGTTTGACAGGTCGAGTTGCAGCAAACAAGACATTGCTGTGTGTGTGAGACTCTTATTGGAGAACAGACTTCAGGCTTGTGCATTAATTTTTCCTTCTTCATGTTAACACTGACATGTACTGTCACACTAATGTGGTTTGTTTGATGATGGTGACACAGCAGTCTGTTTTCACAGTAAGTTACTTTATTTTAGTCTGAATGTTCTGCTTTTTGTGGTTGTTCTCAGAAACATTATGACTGTGAAATGTCACCTTGTTTTTTCTTGTTGTTTTTGTGTCTCTTTGCATGTTGATCTCAAACAGACAAGAAGCAAAATTAGAAATTAGCTTGAATTAGGACAGCAACTATTTATTGAGAAACTCAAATATTTTTTAAAATCTTTGGGCAAATTCTTTACTTCTGTGCTTCATTTAATGCACGACTCTATAGTGTCACTGTGGAAGCTCTGTGCAAACGTTTCACCCCCATTTGCATCTAAAGAAAGACCTGCAGTAGAAACACATGCAGGAGCAGGGGTGTGAATGAAAGATATGGCAACACTAAGCAAACTGAGGCTACAACGGCAGCAGTGAAGATGATGCTGTCATAGTTTAACATGGAGTCTGTCTGCAGGCACACAGCAAAGAGCAAAAAGGTGGAGCCAGGACTGGACTGGAGCAGAAAATAGGCCCTGACAGTTTAGGTACAGGCAGCCGACCATGACCGCGCTACTGTTTATATCACGCATACACATATTATGCATATATATCTCAGTTTGTTTGTTAATTGATATTTAAACAGGTTGTAATCAGGTCGGTAAAGCTGTTGTTGGATTACTTACACTGCAACATGTGCTAATTAAAAAGCCAGACTTCAGCTATCAGCAGTGTTCAGTTTTTAGAGTTATACTCATAATAAATGTGCAAGTAAAAAAATCATCAGAGCAAATATATTCATTTCACAGGCCCAATTAAATTCCTCGCACATAAAATCAACAACCCGCGCATGTACAACTCAACAGCGGGCGCACAAATAAACCATTGCATACACAAGAGTGTCTGCTTTGCACACGCTGCTACAGTTTTACACCCCCGTGGGTAAGCCCCACAGAGAAATCTTGTTCACACTGACAAACTTATTGTTGACTGTTTGGAAAAACAGTAAAGTGATTCGTCCCTTTGGCGGCCTCCCTCATGGTGAAGGAAACTGTACTGACTGACACCTTACTTTGAAATTCCTCTTTTTGTATAATTCTGAAATGTACATTATTGTTCAGGTTTGTGTAACCTTGCCTTTTTTTCATCTCTGGCACTTTACCACTTAAGTTTGTACTATTTCAAGCTTTTCATTGGACTTGGGGTGCTCTAAAACTTTTGACTAGTAGTGTAAGTACAGTATGTGTGTATGTAAAAGGGTGAGGTAAGGAGCTAAGTGCCCCTTGTCTTCAGTGCCGAGCGTTACCAAACAAAGTGTTGTTTGTGAATGCATATTGACAATGAAAAGATCCTTCCTCTTAATTTTTTGTCTTTTCAGTTAATGAGAATTTCACTTTACTTATTTAATGGTGAAGGTTTTAGGACCCAGAGCATCAAAGGGAGGGTATAAAAGAGGAAGTAGCAGTAGGCGCTCTTCTTCTCTCCTTTGCGCTGATGAGTGGCTGTGAACAAAGGTGATTTGGGAAGGTAATGAGTCTGAGAAGATTCAGTTGCCATTTACACATACTGTGGTTATATACAGCAGAGATTCAAGTAGTGATTTAAGAAGACACAAAGCAAGTGGTGCAGCAAACATAGCAGTCAGCTGGAGGACGGGCTACACATGTGATTGTGTGACTGTGCAAATTCCCTGCTGACTCGGCCTCAGGATGTCTAGAGGCAAGAACCAAGCGCACCCAAATGAGCGCACCAGTGATCATGTGCGCATCACGCAGAGGGAGAGTGAGGGACGAAAAGCAGCAGCAGAGCATGGCAGTTGTATCGCAGTTTGTGTGATTCCGTGTGCGTTAATGAGACTGTAAGTGTTATTGCCTTTGACAGGTTAACTGGTATGATAATAGTTATAGTTGTTTGTGTATGTTTAAGCTAAAGTTATGCCTCAGTACACTGCTACCACGTTAGTAGGTTTATTTAATTATTTAATTAATAAGCACTAAGTTAATACCAGTGGCCAGAATCTCCCCCAATGATTATATCCCGCGGTTAAAGGATTTTTCTGTTGTTTATTGTTTAGTTTAGCTGTTGTTAGCTTGCCACATGCTTGCCTTAGTACTAGCAACTGGGAAGATATGTGCTATTTAGTCAACTTCTGGTCTTACGGCGACCCCTTGTGGACATTGTGAAATATTGCTGTGTCTGAGTAGATGATGTGTTCTGATTGTTGTTTGGTTGTCTTTGAGCCTGCTAATTATAGTGTTACCTGTTTCTGTTTCCAGACAACCATGCTTATAGTCACCAATACTGCACCTGCCACAATTATCAGTGCATATCTTCTGTGAAGCTTCATTAAAGACGGTGAACTAAACTCCTGGACTGCTGCAGTCTTTCTGACCGAAGACTTAGGCCAGACTTGTATACCCAGCACTTCCAGTATATATATATATATATTTATTCTACAGTGACTGTTTTTCCTTTTCTCCTTTTGTCGCTCATTCTCCCTAGTTTGTTTTAGAGTATGGGTCACATTTTAAAACAGATTTATTTATTTTTTTATTTTTTTATTTTTTTGCATTTGGGTTTGCTCTTTATGTTAACTGGGCCAGGTGCAATATTAGTCGGGCAATGTGCAATCCCTGAGCTGGGGCTCACACCTTATAGAAAATTAGGCCTTGCCTCGATGCTTTTTGGGAATTGTTTTGCTGTGTTTATGATAACACGATTGCAGTGGTACCAATCATTTCCTTAGGGAAACACTTGCATGTAATAAAGTTGTATTTATCTGGAGTGGATTTGCGTTTTTAAACAAGGAGCATCTGTTTTCTTCTGGTGAGAGCGAGTTACCAGGTGATTGTTACATTGTGGGCAGGTTGCACCATTCACCCTCACCCTTACCCTAGTGTTCCCGGTCGAAAATGACCGGTCAGTTTTAGCAGCTCTTAAATTATCACAAGAAACATTTTTCACCACCAAATTCAGTTCAGTGGGTGGGTCAATGTGTCGTTCAGTGGTCATTCAGTGGGACAGGGGGTCAGAGGTCAAAGGGGGTGGGGGTGGATGCCCATTCATTTCCTATGGTGCTGTCCATTTCCTACGGTTTCCTGTGGTGGAACACCACAGATGTAACAAAGTTGATTAAAGCACTCAAAATTCAACGAAAGAGGTGCTCATCACTTTTATATGTTCAAGTGCATAGTGTGGAGGATGTCATGAGGACTTGAGTCAATCGGATGTAAAACACAATATTTATGAATTTTTTAATTTGACCCGAACACGACAGGAAGGTTAAAGATACATTGTTGATTGTAAGTGATCTTTTTTTGTGATGTTTTAGTTTTATTGCAAACCTTATTTTTGCTCTTTTCTTTATTATATCATCATATCATCTTCATATCATATCGTGTCACTCATATCCTGGCTGATATTGACCCCTTGTCTCTTTTATTCTGGGCTCGAAGTTTGTAATAGTAGTATCAAGGGCTTTGGTGGTTGTTGTGTGTTTTTGATTGCTACACTTAGCCCAAGTTGAAGGAGAAATCATCAGTGTTAAAGCAAGATGGGTGGTTGTAATCTAAATTTTGGCAAAAATGTCGACACATCCAGCCTCAGGCACATTTAATTCTCATGGTTCAGGTTGTCTTTATAATCCCTATTTTTAATGTGTACTCCTGGTACTAACTGAAAATACACTGCATTATTATTGCATTAAAATAATTCTGAATCAAAACAAGAATAATGTCATCAACCCAGGTTCGTACGAGAGCTGGACCCAAAAGCAGATTCAGTACACTCACTGAGTGTCATGGCTGTGTGCAGGCAGGAAAAGGACCCAAACGCAGACTCCAAAAGGCAGATGTGAGCTTTAAACAGCTTTATTGCTGGACACTGAAAAATCTAAACTAAACTGAGGAGTACAAAATAACCTAGGCGGGTGAACAGAACACACTGTGATATGAGGGAGACGCTGATATAAATACACAGAAAGATGACGAAGGCCGAGGAACACAGCACACACGAATAACCATAACAAGACAGGGGATGCTAGACTGAAATTAATGAACATGAAAACACAAGACCTTCACAATAAAACAGGAAACATGATGGGGGGGTGGAGGAGAGGCAGATGAGAGGGAGCGAGGGAACACGAGGGAGAGCACAGACATGACGGGCTGGGGAAACATGATGGAATAAAACACAAGGAGGGGAAACAAGACACAAGGTCTCACTTAACTAAATAAACACAGATACACAGAGGGAGATACAGGAGGCAAAGACACAAGGGGAATCTAATAATCAAAAGCTAAACAGAACAACTTAGGTACTATAGAATAAACTATAGATTAACAAGGTGGACTCAAACCATAATAGAAAATGACAAAACACAAGTAAATTCAAAACGCTGGGTCACATGACCCAGGGCCATGACACTGAGCACTGTGTACAAGAATTTATTTACAGAGAG